TAGTAGAGAGGAGAAATGTGAAGAAAAAGCTGTGAGATGAGTGCATGAGGCATGGAACAGAGCCATGGTAGCCAGGTCCAGGCTTCTGGCTGCCAGGGAAAGATGAAACCCTCTGGGTGTTTGAGCAAAAGCAGCAGAAGTGTCAGGAGACATTTGAGGCTCTTAACACTTGTAGTACAGGAAACTCAATGTAATGTTTGTGACACTGAAAGAACACGTTTCAGGGCTGAGTTGAGTGTACATTTGTGTTGGAGATGGCCCAAGGATGTAAAATTGCTTCTGCAGCACACCTTTGGTCTTGTGTTGTAGTTCCCTCCTGAAGACAGAGGGGGAAATCAAAAGAAAAAGGACAGGCTCAGTGAATGGGACATGGGTCTAGGTTCCAGAGCTTTTAATTCCACTCTTGACAGGTTGAATAAAATTTGGCACCTTTGGTTTTCTTACAAGCTAAGCTCTGGGAGCAGGAAGGGATTCCTTCCTCTCTCCTCTGCTGATCACAGCCACAAGCTTTGGCAGTAAAGGCTGGATAATGGTATAGAGTTTTCCAAGCAAAAAAAAAGTGCTCTGGGTGTCAGTATTTGCTTTCTTCCCTTCTTTTCCAGAGGCTTAATTAAAAATAAATTGCTATTTGAAGCATGCAAAACACACCAAAAACTCCATTCAGGGTTGCTTTCCTCCTGTTCCCCTGCAGAGGAAGGAGGCTGGGCTGCTCTCTCCAGCCCAGCACTCAGAGAGAGCAGCTCTGGAGCAGCCCTCAGGAGAAGGCAGAGCCTTGCTGTCAGCAGATGGTGGAATAGAAACGAGAAATACTTTCCAGAGAGTGTCTGGCACTATGGCAGCCTTGTCTGGAATCAGTTAGGAAGAGGACAAGGTCTTTGGTTGGTGTCTCCTTGCAGTGTCAACTTTAGCTTGTTGGAAACTGCCCAGCTCATACTCAGAGATGGTTCTGTCCCCAGAAAACTCTTTGTTATGATATCACTGTTGGCTTTCGTCTGCAAATTACTGTACAACTTAAATGTCAGGATTCAAAACTTGAAGTGCACAGGATTTCTTCAGCCAGAAGCACAAATGAAATTTAGTTTGGTCTCCTGGTGAGACTTGCTTTCACATTTATCAAACTGACATTCAAACCAAAGAAGTGAAAATACAGCTAAAATATCAGGTGCTGTTGAATGCCTGGAGGAACCATGGCAGGAGTGCTGCTTTTCTTTCCCTCTTGTAATCAAATTTATCTACACTTCTGAACAAACGTCTGCATGGACTATTTAGTGGTTCTTTCTTTTTTCCCTTGGATCTGGTTTTGCATCTGAAGCAGCTCAGCCAGCTTGGGCTGGGTGTTTGTGGCTGGTGAAAACCCTTTCATGCTCATGGGCTCTGGGCTGTCCAAATGCAGGCTCTCAAGCCTTGCTGGGCACCCCAGGTGTGTGAGTGAGCCAAACAGGAAAGATTCCAGCTTCCAAAAGACTGCTTTGCCCAGTAAAGCCAATTCTCAGCTTCAGGCTTTTTTGACTTTAGATGTGGGGCAGCAGCTCAGTTCCCACCAATAGCAGGACTTGCACAGGGCAGGTATGCCAAAGTCCTCTTCCTTTTCCAGCCTCTCATCTTGTAGCTCAACAGGATGAAAAAACTGTCTGTGCTTTTGCCATCTGTCATATTAAACCAGTTCTTAAACCAACTGTTGATACCTTAGTTGAAAATGCTGTTTTTCTGAAGCTTTCTTCCCTCTGAACGGGATCTTCTACCTTTCTTTTTCACATTTTCTAACCTCTTCTGCCTGATGTTGATATTTACTTCCTCTCCAGTGTCATGGTGCTGGGATCTGTCCTGTAGACCCTTCCTGTTGCTGTTTGTATCGTTGCTGTTCTGCCTGGTGCTTGTGAAGCTCAGCAGATGTTTCCAGATGCTCTCTGCAGGACAGGTCCATCCCCATCCCAGCTGCTTTGAGGGCTTCCTTGCTCCTAAATCATGCTTTTTCCCCTTTCATTTGAGATGAAGGAGGAATATTCCTGATACCCTGTCTCAGCCCCTCAGGTAGCCACGTGGCAAGGAAAGGGCACAGACCATGACCTGCACATCCCCTCCTGTTTGCTCCCTGAAGATGGAGCCCTGTTTATGGACAAACTTCACTGGAGTTCCCTCTGGGGAGAAGGGGAGAAACGACACAACAGAACAACAACCTCTTCTGTTCCCATGGGGAAACACTAACAAACCTCCCCAAGTAATTAGAAGGTGAAAGTGGGGCAGAATTTCAATTTATGGGGTTTTTCCTTATCCAGAAGTAAAATTATTTTGGTTTTGGGTCATGGCCACAAACCAGAGGAGTAACAAAGGGGATTTTTACGTTTATTTTTTTTCAGACATATCAGAGACATTGAGAAGGAATAATCATTTTGGATTATTAAGGAATGGGCAAGGGGGAGTGCAGAAGTGGCCCATAGAGCAGGAATTGCTGCTAGCCCTGCTTCAAAAGAAAAATAACAATCCTGCTGAAGGAAAGGGCATTGGAAAAAACACCCTGATACCATATTTTGTTCTTGACTTTGTGTTCACATTGTCAGAAGTGGGTGCCATGGTTTATGCCTGTAAGGATGGCAAAACATTTTCTCTTTACTTCCTTCTTTGTCTTTTGCTGCTGAAGATATCTTCTTTCAGGTTGAAACATCCCATGCTCGGCTGATTTTTGATGAAAAGATAAAGATGTTTTACGCTTGAGGAAATATAAACATCTCTTCTAAAGCTGGTGCAATAAAGTGAGGTGTGTGTGGTTTAGAATGGGTGTGTAGCTGAAAGAACTAAATCACAAAAAGGAAGATCAGCTTTGACTGTAGAGCAGCGTGGGTCTTTCTCCTTGGTTTGGGTTTGTCTCTGTGGTTCAGAGTTCAGGGTGAGCTGCAGTGGGAATGAATTGGATGTGACACTTCACCTCCCCAAGCTGGAGCCTGAAATTACAAGAGCTGCTTTTGCAGAAGGAGACAAACAGGAAGGAAGATGCAGCTTGGAAAAAATGCAATTTGTTGCAGTTCCTCTGCTTAGATTTTTTCTCAGCCTTAACTAACTAGTTACATGGAAAGTTTCTCTGGTTCCATGTGTCATTTTGAATGGGAAAGGAGAGAAGTAGGATGGGCTAAAACACCAGATCCAGGGGTCCAGCAGCACACTGGGTGGCTGATACACTTCAGGCTGTGGAGGAAGGATTTACAGGAGAGTTAACAACTTTAAGATCTTATGAGGGATATTCTTGGTCTGATGAATAAGGTACCATGTACTTCTGGCTGTCATGACTCCAGATTAAGTACAGTAAGGGCATTTCACAGGTGAGGGGCTTCCAGCAGGAGTGTGAGGCATCCATTTAAATATCAGCCTTAGTCTGGAGCTCTGATTCTTGGGCTGAGACACTGCCAGTTGTGCTGATGCTTTCATTGGCAGAGAAGAAATGTGATCTCATGAAACCTACTAGGTAGTGGAGATTGTTTCTGTAAAATTGGATGGGCCTGGTGTTGCCTGATAGGAGGTTGTGAATAAACCATCCAGCTTTCCAGCAAGTGGAAGCAGTGAGACATTTGGACACCAATGTTCACGGGCAGTAAGGAAACTGTAAGTGCTTTTCTGCCCTTTGGCACAAGTGAAAGCAGAGCCTGGAGCATTTCTGCTGCCCTTGCTCCCTGCTGCTGCCCAGAAACCTGGAGGAGAGGAGGCACTCAAAGCAACATCAGCTGGATCTAGGATTGTCCTGCTCCTGTGATTCAGAACATGACACAGTTGCTCACAGGGACACCTGGGTTACTACTAATAGGAGTGCAGAAGTGTTGGCAAAAGAGAGGGGATTTCTGGGCAATGCTGGCTGCCTTCTGCTTAGTTGTGGAGTATTTAATCTGCCCTCCTTGCTAGGTTTTGCCTGTCTCTGTTTGTATTTGTTGCCTGTTGCAAAGTGATGCTGTGTAAAACAGGAAATCCTCCCTTGCAGAGTTTATGCTGTGCTGCACAGGAGGAGGGGGGCATGAGTTAAAATCTCTGAACTGATCAGCAGGAATGGCAGAGATCTTGTGGGTGTGCTGGGGGCTTGTTGCATTTTTATGTTTTGCCCCTGTTGCTGCTGGTGATGCTCTGCTGTTGTCAGATTTGTCGTTAGGATTTGGGTTTGCAAACATGCACATTTCAGGAAGCAGCCGTGTTATGAAAGAGGAAATGCAGCCTCTGGAGAGGAGAAATCGAAGTCTTGCTTCTGTGCTTTGGAGAGTTCTCGCCTGTAGCTCACCCTTCTGAGGATGCAGGTGTGGCACAGCCGTGGTGGGGCTGTGCTTGCAGCTCACACGTGCAGGGCTGCTCCTCTGGGCATGCAGGGATGCATGCCGTCCCTCTGTGCATGCAGGGATGCATGCTGTCCCTCCTCCTGTGCTGCATGGCTGTGCAGCCTCCCAGCCCGCAGCAGGACAGGCTGTCTGGCACCATGGCCTGCTGCCCTGCCATTGCTCCAAATCCCAGCAGAACTGAACATATTTAGGTTTGTGTACAGTCCTGGTGGATGTCTGGCATAACATTCCAGGCTTGCAGCTGCATGGAATTTGATAGCTAAGTTTTCCTTACATGCTGTATTCATATAAACCATGTAAATTGTACTTTGAGGCTGATGAAAGTTAAAGTTTAGGAGTGCTTTGATTTGATTGTAGATAATTTTCTTATCCCTGTAGGCCTGGGTTACAAGCAGAGTAGTTTCAGCAGATGAAGCTTGTGTGAGGGAATGTGAAAACTAGAGCATCAGAATCCTTCAAACAATTAAAACTGAAGAAGAAAACAGAAATGCTCTTCTGACTCATCCTGCTTTGAACAATGATATTATAGTGACACATCATTTCGTACAGTAGATGTGATGTGAACCTTATCCATGTGACACAACAGCAGCCAGAACCTTCTCCCCCTGGGTGTTTAATGCCTTACAGAAAAGAGCCTTGCAGACCCCTCATGTGTGTGACACATTTTGCTGTGCTTGTCACGTTTTCCAGTGTATTTGAAAAGGATCCCAATGGAGCAGATTCCAGTGTGAGTTCCAACCACCGGACCAGAAATCTTCTGGAGTTCTCAGCTGGCCAGGAGTCCAGCTCAGCTCAGAAGGTACCTGAGGGCATCATTTCCGAGAAGAGCAATAGGTGAGATCAAAACCTTTTACATATTTTGGGTGGCAGAGGGCAGTGGTGCTTTCAGCCCTCACTGCCTTGCTCACCTTTTACAGTGCTCTTGCTGTTTTTACAGAGTACCTGAGCTCTAAACACAGGGTTTTGAAAACTGCTCAGTTTTGCTTTTCTAATGAATGTGGTGTTTTATCTTCCAGAGATAGCAGAGCTTCAGCAGTGTACGTGTGTCCGTGCTGCACAGTGTTAGGGAAGAGAGCACATCCACAAGTGCTTGTCACCAAGGCCTTCAGCACCTTCTTCAGTTCAGCTCTTTGCTTTTCTCCTCTGATCTGTATTTCAGCTTGCATAGTTGTGATGTTTGTCATGCTGTCTATCTCTTCTTACTTTTTAAGCTGGAGTTTTTATTTTCTTAGTTGCTCGAGAGATGACCGGGGAATTTCACGACTAAGAACACACTCTGAACTTAGCAGTGCCTTTTTTCATTTAAAAAAGTCCATCTGAGTCCATCCCTGTGCTTATCCATTATTTAATTAAATACTGACTTGCAGGCTTCCTAGATCTCCAGCATGCAGTACATAAGTGAACATATAATTGCCTCCAGATTGAAGTCTGGCTAGTACAGCTCATGTTTTCCCCTTACAAGATTTATCCTATTAGACTGCCCCTTTCCAGTGGAGTGTTTTGGCTGGTTGAACAAAGCCAGGCACAGATGTGCAGAAAGCCCTAATGTATTTTGCCATGCAGAAAGAAGGCAATAAATCAGGAGCATTTTAAGGCTGTAGCCATGGTGAGGGCTCTGTGTCCTACGTGGTGCATTTCAGACCTGTGGGACAGAAGAGGGGAGTGGTTCTCTTAGGAGGATGTGCTCGTGCCTGTTCCTCCTTTTCTTTCACTTTTTCACCCTGGGTTTGGCAAGCTGTGAGCTTTTGCTGCATACTCTTTATCAGTCCTAGATGCAGTGGAGAGGAGAAGCAGACAGAAGTTGGAGAGGAAGCTGGGAAAGGGAGGGGACTATGAATAAGGCTTTCATGAGCTCTTATACCTGATTTTTCAGAAAGAAGGTGAGGTTCAGGAGCTACAAGTCTGTCAAAACCAAGAGGACTAAAGCTGAAAACCTGTCAGGAGAGAAACCTACATTAGGTATTTGGTGATAAATTGTTAACCCCTCAGGAACTGCTGAGGGTGTTATGGACTTTTGTACTGAGAAATACGTGCTCTTTTTCACATTTTACCAAAACCAAGCACATTTTACCAAAACCAGTTCTGGAGACAGAGATGTAAATCCTCTCCACTCAGTTGTAATACAGTTTGTGGCTGCTCAATTGTCATATAGCTTATGGTCTTTCTATCTGCATGGTTTTAGTGGATAATAAATTTAGTATTTCTGGAGCAAGTCTTGCACTGGAATAAAAAAGAAAGTTGTGTCTGCAGAGATTGCATAGTTTGCATACTTTGAGGAATATTTTACAGACTACATATTCTATCAATATCTGACCTTCTTGGGAAGAGATCCAACATCTGCTGATGCTCATCTGTCTGCCCTGCACTGAGAGCTGTCAGCCCTCCTTGAGGGATTGACTGACAACATTGGATGTTTGATAGGAATGGTTACTCACCTGTTTCAGAGGTCTCACGGGAGCAGCTGTGACATTCATGGGTCTGCTGGTGTCCGTGCTCATTCTTTGGCTTTGGTCAAAGTTTTTTTAGGGATTTCTTGATGTGGTTTGTTGATTTTTTTCCAGGTATGACCGTTCTGTGTCTGACAACAAAGCACTAATGATAGTCTCAGAAGAACCACTGTTATATATTTCACCCCCACCACCCCCCTGCCGGCCCCTGATCAACAGGACAGAGTCACTGAGGTGAGCAAACAACCAAAATGTTGTGAGCATTTCAAGTTTATTAGGAGTTGGTACATCAGCTCTGTGTTGCTGCTGTGAGTGATGCTGTTGTCCAGTCACGGTGTTCATCCAGTACATGACCAGTGTCTGCCCTGTCCAGTGCCTGCTGTCATAAGGACAGATCCACTTGGATCTTTGTCATCTTTCCATGGTTTCAGTAATGATTTGCACCACTCACTTTTCAAACTGGTCATTTGCAATAACTCAATAACAATTTTCTGATTGTCTAGGGGTTTTCACAACTTAAAATAGAAATCACTTCATGTGTAGAAATGTTAATAGTATGGAAATCAGGTCCAGCTAAAAGCCAAGAGAGTTATATAAGAGATGGTCTTCTGTTCTTCAGCTTCTGATAGAAGCAGACTGAACCTGACATTGCAGATGTTCTTTGTTCACTGTTAGAACTCTAACACCTGCCTCCACTTTTTCTGTAGATATGAGTCACTGACCTTATCTCCAGTCTCTTTGTCCATTCTTTCTCTCAGATTTATTTGCCATAATTTGCCCTTAACCAATAATTTGTCTTGAATTGATCAGCTTTTGATTTTAAATTTCAGTAGTCCTTCCAGTAATTTCAAAGTTACTGTTCATTGGTCAAAAGAAAGGGCTGTCTACTATTTGTGGGAACACCTGTGAATCTAATTACTTTATAGATAAATCTTAAAATAGTATTTTCTTCCTGTGGTATTAAAAATAAGCAATCATAAGGTGAAATAATAGTAATCTTCAGTGTCTATGATGTTTTGTAGTGGATACCTAGAACAGAGGCTAGACAAGATTAAGAGAGTAAAAGCAGGTATTTGTTAAAGGCCTTCAATAGATGTACCTTGGTCCACCCAGGGGCTACACCCAAAATGGAGCACAAGTTTTCACACTTCTTTGTTTGGTCCATTTGCATATTGGGGGTTAATCTTGCAGGTAATGAAGTAATTTACCCCAAGTTTGCTCCCCAAGTTTACATTTCTCAGGGCCTGAGGCAGTGAGGTGTCCTTGGTTCTCAGGCCTGGAGAGGAATTTTGTCTGGTCACAGTGTGAATGTGTTAGAGTTCCACACTAAAGAACTGCAGGATTACAAATCTATGAAAAACACAAAATCCCAGGGCATCTGTGTGGCAGCTGCAGTGCTGTGTGGCCCTGGTGGCAGTGCTGTTTGCAGTCTGTGCTGACTCTGGTTTCCTAGGCTGACCCACGAGCTGCGAGGATGGGTGCACAGGCACGAGGTGCAGCGGACGCGCTCCCGGCGGCTCAGCAACAGCCAGCAGCAGCAGCGAGCTCGAGTGCCACAGGTGTGCCCTGCCCATCCCTGCCCTGCCCTGCCCATCCCTGCCACCACAGATCTGTGCCCTGAACAGCCTCCCTCCCTCCTGTGCCCTGGGAGCCAGAAGTGCCATCCTGCCTGTGCTCAGGGCAGCCACCACTGCCCGCTCTCGATTGTCGCGTTGGCAGAGTTGTTCTTCCATCCCTGCTCGTGGATTCAGGGTCTTGAATTTTTAACAGCCATCAAAATATGTTCAGCATTTCCTAACATGAAATCAGTCATTATCCTTTTTATGGCTTCTCTGTAAGGATAAGCAATTACTGGGGAGAAATACAACCTACAGCACACTCGTGTGACTCACTGTTAAGGGCCACAGCTGATTGGTTTGGTTGAAATATTTCTATTGTTTAGATTTTTGCTAGAGGGGTTATTTTCTTTTGTAAGACTACAGAATTATCAGACTTGTGCTCACATTTCCCATATTTTAAAATCTCTTTTATCTACATGGTATACTGGTATAAAGGCTGAAATTAAGACAATGAATTTTTTAAGTATTTAATTGGTTAGACATAGTAACAGCTTTAAAAGGTATTCAGCATTACAATGTGGGAAATACTGCAATTTTTTAGAGAAGTGTTTATTAAACTTAGATCCTTCTCACTGGTCTCCAGAGCAGAATGGTAAAATATTTAGAAACATTGTCTGTAGTGCCAAGCTCCCTTTCTTGTCTCTGAATGTTGACTTCAAATTTGGCTGTATTAAAATCTTGCTGGTTTTGTTGTTCCAGCTTGATTGCTGACCATTTCAGGTTCTCATTTCAGTGGAAGTGTGCATGTTTCTGTGCAGGGCTGACCTCTGCCCCCCTCTCTGTGTGTTGTAGGGCAAACCAAGGGAATTATTGCTTATGGGCTCCACTTTGTGACACCTTTCCTTTCTCCCCCTTTTTCAGAGCTCCCTCAGTGACAAAGCAGATTCCCAGCTAATGGCCATGCCTTACACAGACACCAGTCTCAGGTAATGCAGAACAGCTCCTTTGTTATTGCTTTCTACTGAATAACCTACTTTTTCCCCAACAGCTGGTAAAGAATGCCCATTTTCATCTTCTCAGGGTTCTTAAGCCGAATACAGCTACTTTTCTTGGCCTGATTCTGTCCCTTAGCAAATAACTGCTTCTAATTATTTATATTACACTTAAAGTAACCCTGGTATTGCAGGTCCACTCTTCCAGGGCCTTTCTAGCCATGAATTTTAAGAAAATCCTTGCTTTGCTCTCCAGAATCCCTTTCTAAACAGATTTGAATATCTAGGGAAAAACAGGGGGAGCTGGCTTTGGATTCTCTGTGAGTCTCTCATTGTCTTCAAGAGGTAGAGCCATTATAGCTAGCACCAAATTATGATGATGACCCTGAAGTACCATTGTGTCTCATTTGCATCCTTTGTGTCCATCTGCTGACTTTGCTGATTATTGGAGCACGTTAATGCAGAGTTTCCTGCTGTCCCCTCCTCATGACTGTCCTGTCCCCCTTCCCTGGTGACAGCAAGCACTGCACAGAAGAGATTTAGGAAACAAAATTTCTCTCTCCTGATCTCTGTGTGAGTCTGTTCAGGAGGCTGTCTGCTTTGAGGTGCCAAAGAGGAGTGTAAGAGCAGAATGGAGAACAGAGGGGACTTTTGGTGAGAACAGCACCTGAAGTGGTGCTGTGGGAAGGAACAGCTGTGCACTCTCCGTTTGCATTGCTGCTTTGAAAGCAGCATCAGCCTGGGGGAGAAGAGCAAGCTGCAGACAGAAAACAGGCTGTCAGATTTTGATACATCTTAATTTACAAGGGAAAAAAAAAATAAAAAGCTTTTTGAGTTCTACAGGCAGATGAAGGATAGCTGTTTTAACTGAACACTCATGAACAAGCCTCATGCCATAAGGCAGTTTAATGTACATGCTTGAATTACTCTTGAAAAAAAATTATCTGGATTATTTGAAACAGTGTGCAACATCATGCAACTCTGCATGGAATAATCTGTTGTGCTCTGAAGGAAGTGAGATTTTTTGGGCTGTTTTTTTCAGATTAATGATGTTTACATGAAAAGCATCAGTGAGTCATGGCAGCTGCATGCTGAGACTGTCCTGGAGCTGCTAAGAACATAGAACAGATTTCCAGTTCCTCCCAGAGCCACCAGCTATTAGGTGCTCCATGAAATCATAGAATCACAGAGCAGTTTAGGCTGTAAAGGACCTCTGGAATCTCTAGCCCAGCTCCATCTCAGGAGGGGCTTGCTGGGCCTGGCTGTTTCCATGAGTGAGTAACCAAGCTCAGATGAGCTTTGTTTCCTGTGTGAGAAGGATGGGAGCCCATTCCTGTGGGGCAGAGCTCTGCAGAAGGGGGTGTCTAGAGAAGAGCTTCCTGCTCCTGGGCCCGCAGGATTTACACCCCCAGGCCCATGGGAGGGCAGCTGACTCTGGTCTAGCAGTGGCAGAGGAGATGGTGACAGCCTGCTATTACTGCTGCTGGAGAAAATCTCTTGATGATAGATTTGTTCCTTGTTATATTTTAGAAACACACTAAAATTATCTCAGTTAGCCCCCCTAGTTCAAAACCTGGGTGAGCAGAAGACAGCTGGGGAGGGGAGGTGTCCTTGCCACAAACACACGGTGTGCTGTTAAAGTGCAGGACATGAAAGTGGTCCAGCTAATGGTTTCCCTGAGTACAGCTTTCCAGTGTGATTAAACAAGTTACTTAGGAATGGGCTTGGGGAAGTACAAATGATAGCAGTGCATGCTAGGAATTTCTCACCTTTCCAAGATAAACAGTGGATAAGCACCATGATTGTAGGATTTGCCAGTGTTTTGGTTTGGAATGGTTTAGAGCATCTTTTCCTTGTGTCTCATGTGTGTAAGATGAGAACCGTGGAAAGATAAGCCAGAATTATGTGAATAACTTAGTTTTGCTCCTCTGTCTAAATTGAAAATCAAGAGCAAAACCTTTGAGTTGACCAGGGCAAAAATCTTTGAGTTGACCAGAGGACACAGCAGGGGGGAAAAAAAAAAAAAAAAGGTGGGTGAGAAGGAAGGTGAATTTGTCATTTGACAGTAAATTAAAAGCTCTGTTTATGCTTAACTTTGCACTTCTTTCAATTTCAGTGGTTTGGATTCTTAGCAGTAAAAGAAAATTATTAAATTATTAAATGGTTTGATATTTTATTTCAGAATGTCATTGTATCCTTAAATTTATTTTCAGAAGTCATCACAATTTTTCAGACACTTCAGATTGAAACTTTTTTCCCTGTTGAGCTAGCAAACAGGATTTTGCTGGCCTCAGAAGCATGAACAAAAACAAATCTGGAAAACTTTGCTACAGTAAGACCTCTGAAGCACCTTGAACTTTCAAAAAATACTGGGTAGTTTCGTTGTCTTCACCTGTGTTCTGTGCTCCTCATGCTGCTCTCAGTGGATGAAGAGCTGCAGTTCCTTTAAAAAGCAGGTCTGCTCACTGAAATTAACTGTCTGGTCTGAGATAATTACCTTTGCCCTTCTTTATTTCAGCAGGAGCTCAGGGAATGAACTGCAGGTGTATTATGCCTCTCCCAGGAGCTATCAAGACTTCTTTGAAGCAATTCACCGAAGGGAGGACACGTTCTATGTGGTGTCATTCCGCAGGGTAAGATAAGGAATATCCCTGGCTGATATTGGCCTTTCACTTGTGTCCCCAAGACTGCTTCTGGCAGAGGCACCAAAGATGACTTAGTCAACATTGAAGATAAATCTGTTTCTTCTGAAATGATGCTTCTCTGTGTCCTTTACAGCATCATGGCCAGATCATGGTCTTTGCAAAACATGCCCATCACACTGGGAATGGAAAGAGCTTTGCAGAAACTTCGTAGTGCCAGGGCAAGACAGCCCAAAATTGCATGAACCCTGTGGTTAAACACATCTAATTAGAGCTACCTAATGGGGGTACAAACCACCTGTGCTTCTGGGTATAGGAGCAAATGGACCCTCTGCATCAGTTATTACTGTTAACACAGTTTCTGTCTTCCCCTAAAACCCTTGCATTTGCAGTTTTATGTGTCACATATTGCAGCTCTGCAGGATTGTGTGCAGGGCCACGATTTTTCTGCTGTTTTGTGACTTGTAGGTTGGTATGGATGAGCAGGTGTGCTGTCTGTGCTGAGATAGGACAGAGGCTTGTGCTGCAGCTTTGTCAGGCACAGCTTCACCTCTGCAGCACAGTTAGTGATGGTAAAAGCTGTTACAAAATGGAATTTCAGGTGTCTGGTGGCACTTTCTGCACTGCAAGCACGACTAGTGTTGAAGGCAGGACAGCTGCAGCAGTGAGAAGCTGTTTGGGATCTGGTAATGGAAATGATCAAGGCAAACAGTGGCTGAAACACCAGTCTGGAGCTGGAGGAATTTCTTCCCTCCCTTTTGCAGAGGTCTGGATGAGTTGTTGGATATGTCTGTAATCTTTGGCTGAGCCTGGGGTCCTGCTGAGCCTCCTGCCCTGCATTTTGCAGTTGAGGTGTCGGATGAGAACTGTTCTGTGTGTGTGCTCAGCCAGCTCCTCCCAGCACCCTGCAAGGCTCCATTTGTTTCCTCTTCATGGGGGTGTCCTGAGAGGGGTCCCAGGGTGGTGGGGGAGCAGTGGTGGCCATGGCAGCAGCTCACCCAGCTAAAAGCAGTTCTGTGTCACAGCACACAGATAAACACAGCTGGTTTTAGCAGTTCCTGTGTTGTCATAGCTACCAATCTATAGATGTCTTAGATACAGAGGTAATACAGCCCTGTCCTACCTGGCACACAGCAAGTTTGTTAATTTGTGAGGTGCATGTCTGTAGAGAAGGTTCAGACAAAGCAAAAATAGCAGTGCTCTTCTTAGGACTAAGGTTTTATGCTGAGTAGAAATATGAAGTTAGTTTCCAGTCTTGGGATTATTGGGTTGTGTCACAAGGCTGGAATTTTGTTATTAAATGCTTGGCATGTTCTGCTGTTCTTTCAGCTAGCAACACAAATACAGCCAGCACCAGGCTCCACATATCCTGAGGATGAGGAGAAGGGAGCGGAGAATAAAAGCTTTCTTGGCAGCTCTGAAAGCAAAGCAGAGCAGTGTTTGTAGAGTTCTGCACTTGGGGCCATTGCTCCAGCTCACCTGAACACATGCACATGTCCCTAGGTCCTGTTTACACTGTGGGGTTAATGACCTGGAAGTTGTCAGCTCTCATTTCAAGCCGCAGATGTCCTTGGAAACAGCGTGCCTTGTGCCACACACTCCCCACAGCTTGCTGTGCTCTCTTGCAGGGAGAGGGGTGGGGGCGGTTCAAACCCATCCATGAAGTTGATTTGGTTGCAAAGCTTTTGGTATTTCTGTTTTATGAATGAAATGTCCTCACATAGAAGGCCGTTTCATGCATTACCTCATTTATTGTTTTAACAGGGCAGACCTGGTGTAGCAGCAAGCTCTGCCCTGAGGCACTTGTAAATGACTTGCTTGGATTCTTTTGTGAGTGCAGAAGAAAGGATCCTGCACAGCCCGAGGGGTGGCATCGGCAGGGCCCCAGCCTGGGAGGTGCCCTTTCACCTCCTCCTGGGGATTCCTTCATTTTCTCTGGCCACAGCTCCCTTTTCACCCCTGATTGGGGCTGGGAGGGGACTGGTTCCCCCCCAGTGCGTCCCACAGCTCACTGTGTCACTTGTCCAAGTGAGGAGCCAGGAAAGGATTTGTTCTCTCGCTGTTTGCCCTGCAGACACTCCCACACACTCAGTAAGCTGTTACAGCCCTCTGACACACAAACCAGAACAGCTAAAAGCTGCAGGCAGTGGTGGTTCTGGTGGTGGTGCTGTGCTCCAGGTGGGAGGTGGGACTGTGGATCTCGGGAGAGACCCCTGGATCCCGTGTCCCGTTTCCTGCTCTGTGCACAAACCCCAGCATTTCTCCTGGATGCATGTGATAAAACACTTGCACTACAGGAGCTGTGCCCTGAGTCCCTTGATTTTCTAGGAAATGGGTTTTGCTAGGGCTACCCCTGCCTTTTACGTGGTGGGACTCAGCCAAGGCTTCTGGAAGTGCAGGGTTGGGTGTTCTGGTGATGCTTGCTACCTGTAAGACTGAGACTGCCACGATCTCATCAATTTTCTTTCCTTGCCTTGGAAGGCTTGCAGGTCTGCATATTTACAGTTGAAGTTTATGTGTTTGGTTTTTTTCCCTTTTTAAGGAGGAGAGAGGAAAATGAAATAGCATTTGGATCAGCTGAGTCCGTAGAAGCAGAGCTTTTGCTCTGGGTCTCTAAAGAAATGAATTTGTTGCTATTTTCAGGGGAATCTGGAATGTCATTTCTAAACAAGAGAAGTCTGCTGCTCTGCCAACACCTTTGATTTCTGCTCTGTAATGTCTGTGATGCCAGGTGTGCTTGATGTGTCCTAAAAGCCCAGAGGAGTGTGGATACAGAGCCTGGTGGCTCTGGGTGAGCCTGGCACCCACACAGCTCTGCCAGAGCTCACGTCTGCTTTGCCACAGCCTGCTCAGCCCTTGACATGGTTTCTAGAATTACCTGGTAATTAAGGTAATTAAGTAAATCATTGGAGCAAACAAATCCCTTCCACTTTACTTTGGTCTGTAAATGGTGCTGGAGATGACTCCACCCTTGTGTGGTTAGGGTCAGAGTCCCCACAACTTGGAGTGATAAAGCTGTAGATTTCTCCATCCTGGGAGGTTCACTCAGTGACCCTTTGATGACATCTCTGCAGGCATATTTAAAGACAGTGACATTTTTTAGGGTAAGAATGTAATTAGTGTTCTTAAGGAAAGCACAGTTTAAAGTTTAATTTGCTTGGAAAATGCAGAGGATTTCTGGCATTTCCTCTCACTGCTTTCTCTGTTTCAGAGCACAAATGTCTCCTAATATCAAAGTTTGCCCCTTGCATTTATTGCAGTGCATATGCAGTATCTTACAGCAGGATGTAGTAAAAAGTAGATATTAAATGGTGATTCTGTTTGTTAGAGCAAGAGTGATGCCAGCCCTTTGGGAATCAATGGCAAAGCCTTTACCAACATCTGTAAGACCAGGATTTTGCTCTATAAATTTCTGCTTCAGTGCCATAAACCATAGAGCTTCAGGAAAACCTGTTATTATGAAAGTAAATTTTTGGTCCTACAAGCCAACATCTGCAGTAAGCATTTAAGGGTTTCTCAAGTTCTGCAAACAATTTTTTGCTGAAATGTTGAAGCCAAATTTCAGTCAGAACTTTGATTCTTTCTTTGTTTGCTAGGAGTAAAAATGTCTAGATTGTGATGTGCTTCTGTTGGAAATAAGCCTGTGCTGTGCTAATTGTATTTGGGATGATATAATTGTATTTGGGATGATCTGTTACTTTCAGGAAGCAGAGGATTACAAAGGCTGGCTTTGACATGCTTGGGCAGCAGCAGTTTGCTGTGCTGCACACACTTCTGGAACAATAATTTGAATGTATCAGGGAGCACCAGGCAGGTTCCAATTGACTGCACTCCCGATGCCATCTACATCCTGCAGGCAAAACTGCTTTATTGGCTTCAGATGACATTTCACAGCTAGAAATCCATCCCTAACATATACTTAACTCCTACTTTGTTGCACTTGACAATGGGTGGTTTTTACTGAACATGGAGTTTTCTGCTGTTGACTTTTTTTGTGGATTTCTGCAGACTGGGATGTGTAATTTGGTGTTTGATTCAGATGAATTGATCAGTCCTGCTGCCCCTAGAGACAGAGCAGCTATTCTGTACGTCTGAGTCCTGGGGATTTGCAACTGCTGCAAGTTAACATGCAGATTTTTGAAAGATTTTACAAACTGCCCTTTTTCCTGTGGAGCCTGACCTTAGCTATTCAGAGGAAAAAAGCTGCTTTATCCCAGGATTGTAGGATTTTTAGATCTTGTCCTATATTTTATAAATATGCTGAGAATAATACATGGTGAAAGAACTGAGGCTCAGGGCATGGTATCCATGGTAAAACTGTCTGTCCTTTTCAAAGCAGAGGTCACCCTTTTGCCTGTCTTCTCTGTGAGGCCAATTCTTGCCTCTCTGGGAGAGCTTGAGGAAGCAAACAGCGTGTGTGATTGTGCTTCAGCATGCCCTGAAGCTCAGTGAGTCAGCCTCTGTCAAACTACAGCTGTATTTGACTTCCAGATTTGAAAATCCATGATGAAAACCTCCTGTTTCCATCTAAGTGTCAATAGTGAAAATTAAGTCTGGCCTGTCACATTCTTTGTTACAAATTCCCTCTTTTCTGGCCAGACTTTGGATTCTTTCTGTGTCAGGGAATTTTCTCCTTCTGAATCCCCAGTGACCACGTGAATACAAAGAAGCAAGGTTGCTTTCTGGTCTTTCTTGAATGTCTTCCTTTCTGCTGTGGAATATCTCAGGTAGGTGGGGAGGAGGGAGAGGTGGCTTTCAAAGGGACTGAGAGGTGGTGGGGAGAAGGTTTCTCTGTGCTCTTCCTGTTACTCAGCTGGGGAAGATGTTGCTTTTGGTACCTTAGATCTTTTATCTTAGACCTTTTTATCTTTTATCTTTATCTTAGACCTTTTATCTTAGAGCTTGGTCTAAAAAAACCTCCTGAGAGAAATCTAATAATCTAAATGAGGTCTAAAAATTGATGTTGGTCTATAGAACACAAATGGAGGTGG